GTGATTTTTAAGAAACCCAGATTACTTTTTTTATACGCTAATCGGATTTCAAATTTCAATTAGTTTGTTTTCAGCATTTGAAACCGTCATGTTCTCTCAGTGAGCAATTGACAACACAGCAAGATGGTCGAGATAGTCTGGGGTCCGAGTCATCTTCCAAGGTTTCTGATGATGTTGATTCGAGTATGGTTGTTGAACTAAACACCGAGAATGAGTTGGTGACGACAACAACACAATGCTCAGAAAATGTCAGATCGGAGAACACGACGACAAATGCTAATATCAGAACTGATCTCGGCAGTAAAGAAGCAGCGAATGGAATTTGCGATAACGTAAATTATCGACAAATGACAAATTTGTCTTTACTATATCTTGAGAATGTCGATTATGATAGATCTCTGATTTTTTAGAATTTGTTTTGAGTTAAAATTGTTTTTTAAGATATATACAGATTGAGATAAATGTATGCGCATAGAAATGTATGTATTTAATCTTTCAGGTGCAAGTTAGGAAGAGGGCGCAAACAAATGATAAAGGAGCGGATGAGGCTGCGAATAAATCTCATCGACAAAAGCCTAATGATCAAGAAGTAAGTGTAATCATTTTCATTTTTCTTACGTGGACTGGATGGATTGTATTCACAGCTATAGAACCTTATAACGATGAGTTATTCCATATTTGAGCAAATTTTTATTTAGTATCTTCATTTCAGATATTGGAAGAACTGAAACAAATAGTTAATGAGGGTAATCCAACGGACCGATATGATTTGCTCCAGAAGATTGGCATAGGGTAATTTTTTTCTGAAAATAGAAAAGATAATTTGTTAAAAAGAAATAGTTTGTTCACTTGCTTTGCAAAGACGTTATGGATATTTCAAAAGATTCATGAAAATTTAGATCCGAATCAATAAATTTTTCCAAATCTCATTTAAAAATGAATTAAAATGAAAATATAAGTAAAGTAAAAAGAGATAAGTATATGATATAACTGGTCGATTTTGATATCGAAGCGAAGGCCTATTTTTTAGTTTTCCGTGTTGCTATTTGTTTGGTTTGTTTTACTAAAATTTGTATGTTGTGACTATGTCTTTGTATCTTTAGTGCATCGGGTCATGTTTATACCGCACGTGATAAAATTACGGGTGAAGTGGTTGCTGTAAAACGTATGGCATTTAAAAGTCAGCCAAAAAAGGAGTTGTTGCTTACAGAAATTAAAGTTATGCAGAAATATAAGCATGAAGTGAGTCCATGTCTTTATTTATTTGTAAGAAATAAAACTCCATATAATTTGCTTTTTTTGCGCAGATGAGTAATTCATAGCTCTTTTGCAGAATCTTGTCAACTACATTGATAGTTTTTTGGTGGATGCGGACGATTTATGGGTTGTCATGGACTATTTGGAGGGCGGTAATTTAACTGACGTTGTTGTAAAAACTGAATTGGATGAAGGACAAATTGCTGCAGTTTTGAAAGAGTGTTTGAATGCTCTTCAATTTTTACACAGGTAAATAGTTTTTTTCATGTAAAGAATGTTGCAGTCCTACAAGTTATGTTTCTTTGTTTTTAGTAAGTGCGAGTGGAGAAATAACAAATTAGGTAAATGATCAAGATTCCAAAATCCAAAAGCTGGAAAGAAATCAAGGGAAAGAAATTTTAAAAATAAAATCGTGAATTTGCGACTGTAATTATTTCATGGGTTTTACTTGATTTGCATGTTTTGAATTTATTCATATTTCATCATATTTCATCTCTTCAGTCACAGTATCATACACCGAGATATAAAATCAGACAACGTTTTGTTGGGAATGCAAGGTGCCGTGAAATTGACAGATTTTGGCTTCTGTGCTCAGATTCAGCCTGGATCGAAAAGGTTAGTGTATAAATACTATCGAAAGTCATTGTTGCTAGTTAATATAAATAATGATTTCCGAAAGTTAAGGGCAACAATGGTGGGGACACCGTATTGGATGGCTCCTGAAATCGTGAATAAGGTGAAATATAACTATAAAGTAGACATCTGGTCGCTTGGAATAATGGCCTTGGAAATGCTTGATGGAGAACCACCATATCTTTATGAGACTCCCATCAAAGTTTGTTTACTGTTATGTACAGATGTATTTTAATGTTTTTTAGTCATGTATATTTTGATAGTACAACGTTAAAAAATATATACATTTATTCAGCGACATTTAGTTAAGCAGTTAAGCCTGAGATTTGCAAATAATGATTCTGTATTAGATTTCAAAGTAATGGAGGTTTACGTATGAGAGGTCACTAAGATTATTAATTGTCATCACTAGGATTATTAATTCCAGCGAGTAATAATGTCACTGTTGCCCATTTTTTTCTTTTTGACATTTTCCATTGTTTCAGGCAATATATTTAATAGCTCAAAATGGAAAACCGGAAGTTAAGAAGAAGAATTCCTTGTCTCCAGAATTTAACGATTTTCTGGACCGCTGCCTGTGTGTGAAACAAGAAGAGCGAGCTGATGCTGAAGAATTGTTACGGCATCCGTTCATCCAAATGGCAAAACCATTAAGTTCACTCATTGCCTACATACGCGCAGTCAAAGAGCTGAAACAGCAGCAAAGGTGAAATCAGTGTAGTAGTAATGGAGAAATAATAGTTTGGGACTTTCGTATACTGGAGCACTGCTCTATTATTTAGTAAGTTTTGCAGTACTTTATTTAAAGTTTGATTCTTTACAGAAAAATTTAAACAATTTGCATCATTTATGCTTGTGTATATAAATTAAAGTTTGTCTAGTGAAATAATTGTGAGACATAGAGCTTTCTTCCAGTTTCTTTGTTATCGCTCCTTGTTTTCTCTAATTGTTAAAATTATAAAGATTTGTGGATTGCATACCCCATCAATCTGCTAGAATGAGTCACTGAGTTACATTCATTCCTCCAAATTCTCTTTAGATTTCCTCTGTGATTGTTACTGCTGAAGTCGTATTATGGATTTTGATGTTCATTTTTAGGCGGGATAGAGGATGTGCAGTTTTCTGCAAGAAAAAGAGCGTATGCATTTTCGTTACTTTGTGTGGTACCAAGCACTCATTTGGGATTGTGGATATTTGGAGGTTAGAACTCAAATTAACCGTTTTGATCTTGGAATTAAGGCAGTCGTAATGGAGGTCTTGCTCAAATTGTGATAGGTGCGTGAAAAGCACCCTCCGATTGTTTTTATTAATTCCGCAGTTTTGCTGTTCGCCAATCCAAAACCCCGCATATTCTTTGCATTATTTATGATTGTATTATCCTAAAAAACTGCTTAGTGATTGATCACTCCTTAATTTCTGGAGGCTTCCAGTTTTGTCATGAGTTGTGAATATTTATTTTTTTGATTTGATGGATAGTGAATATTAGTAGTGGTAGAGAATCCTGGAAACTATAAAGTGATGTGACTTCTTTTTAACTAACATTACGATGCTGACGTAAAAAGCACCATGGACAGCGCTTGATGCACTGGCTTGAATGTGATGTCCATCTCAAATTGTTTTACATGCGTTGTGAATATCTTTTTTCTTTTTTAGTGGTTTAAAAAACAAAAGCATGTTATGATTGTACCAATAATTTGATTATAACAAGGTGAAGTATGAAGTATATATATATATAATATATATATATTATATATATAGTTATTATTGTATCATTCGGGTATCTTTTTGCACATATCACAAAAATATCTTCCATCTTGTTCCTGATTGTTTTCCATTGGTCTGATTTGTATTCATAAATTGCTACTATAATCCACCTGTTTTCAAAAAGCAACTTTTCGCATTACTAAAATTGTCATATCCAGAAAATTAGAATTTTCTACCAGAATTGTTTGAAAGGGAAAAAGGAAGAAGTTGAAGACTTTGATATAAATTCCAAATCTAATTTTCAGTTTTATGTCCCAGCACATTTTTTATATTTTTTAAAATTTGTTACCTTAATTTCACAAGTCGTTGACAACTCCATTGTAAAATTAATTCGTCATTAAATTAATCACTTTTTTCTTTTTTATTGTCTTAGAAACTGATTGCTTGCATTTCTTCCCCGGTCTTTATTAAATGTTTACCAGGTTCTAAATTTAGTCATTTTTATATGTCGAAATTTTATCGTATGGCTTTTTATGGACTATCCATGTCTCTTTGGGATCAGTGATACATCACTCAGACCTGAATTAAGTTACAATTCTAGAATTTCCATCTGGATTTTGCGGACATGATTCTGGGATCTTTGATCAACTGTATGCAGGATGCACAAACTTTCAGAATCGCTTATCAAGTCCTGCGTTGAATTTTGAGCTGTAGCGGTCATGTGAAATGATTATAGTGTTCATCAGCGCTTTCTCTATCTTTCTTTGCATTATTACAGATTGTTTCTTTTTTTCACCTGCTTTGTTCTGTTGCTTAGATTTCCATATGTGTTCGTAATTTATTATGCTCAAACTTCTACTCTCGGTGCTTATAATACGTTATTCCCCACTGTTTTCTATACATGTGAATCCCTTTTAAATGTACTTTTTTTGCCAGGAATATAAATTAAAAGCAGCATCGTGCATACATTAAGTCCAAAATGGAGATAACTAACCCAGCGACAAATAAGTAGAGAAAAGGCGCACATCGTATATTGCAATGGAAATCAAGCAGTTCTAGTGACTTCGGGGACGGATTACAATTTGCAGTCGAACGAAAAAACATCATGAAATGAGCCTCTTGCCTTGATTTCATACTATTGGTTGGAGCATCTGGATTGGCATGCATGTTCGCCTTTGCTTGGTGTCATTGTGGCATACGAAAATCGGGAAGATTCTTGTCCGTGTATTGCTAATAGAAATTCATGGAATTTTACAGGGTAGAAACGGTACAGGACATTCCAGTGTTTAAATAACCGGACGGGAAAAATCGTAATTTTCGTTAATAATGCTCATAATAAGTGCTACCTTTTTTAACATCAATTTAAAATGATACAAGAAATAGGATTATTTATCGCAAATTATAGTTTATTTTTCACCAGCATTTGCTTTTAATAACACATCTTTGAAGTAGAAAGGCACAAAGGGATAACCGAGTCCGAGGTAGAATTTGGACTGGAACTCAACCCTGTAATAATTTTTTTTAAATATTTTAACTATAATGGAAATTTTTATAAATCAAGTTTTCTGAAATAAAATCAACTGATGCAAGTATCGACTTATCCATAGCATATTTCAATTTTTTAAATTCAAATTAATTCATAAGAACCGACCAATGTAGTCGAAGTGCGTGTAGGAAGGCGGAAAGTCCCTCCATGAGTACCAAAATTGAAACGGTTAGAACACCGAATGTAAAAAATATAAAATAAGCAGCGATGTAACCAGCAATTCCAGAAATACCAAAAGCTTGTACGAGTACCATTTCCCATAGTACTTCCGATAATTCTGCAGTACTCATATAAAAAGCTGTGTACTGAGAATCTAATTTCTTCCAATTCAAGTAAACAAGTAAACTCGTCTAAGAGTCAAGCGAAATTATTGAGCGTTCCCTTTATTATTAACTTAATGTTAATAGAGTTAATGGAATATCATGCCAGAAAAAAGGAATTTTTAAAACTCCTGGAAACTCAAAAATCTTAAAGGACAAATCGATTAATTCATTTCTACATATTACTTGCATTTCAGAAATCCCAGCAAGCACTATCTATAAGCATAATTTTTCGTTAGTACGACTGTCAAGAAGCCAATATCGTTTTCAAATTTCTTTAGTAGTTTTAGTAGAAATTTTGGAAACCACTAAATCAATGAATGTTAAGTTTTACAACAAAAAAAATTATGAAAAGAAAATGATCTGGAATACTTACGGGCATGTGCCAGTGATAAAGCCCACAATCGAAGGTATGATGCTGTATGGGACACACAGCCAAGGACATACTCAATTGTGTGAATAGCTTGATGAACCATAACGTCCGCAAAAGACTCAAAATAAATTTTGTAATATCAAAATACAATTATCTCTTCATATCCGCCCATATTTTCGAAGCTTTTCCTGCCCAGTGTTGGGCTGTGAATCAAGGAAGTAATCAGATAACTAAGAGAAGCAAATTTTTCTTTTTTTTTTGTCAGGAACTCACTTCTTCTTCACATTCATTATCGGATGTCGTTTCCTCCCAATCTTTTTTATTTAAATCGCTTCCATTTTCGTTCAAAGTTATCTCAGCTTTTTCGCTTTCTTGATTCACCCATATTACCTAATGAAAGAGAAATCTTGAAAGAAAGAGATAATTTTCAAAAATATCAAAAAAAGAAAGCATTATTTTCAAATTTGTTATTTAAGGTGATTTTGCCCACTGATATTAAATAGAACATAAAAACAATCATCTGATTTGGAAATGACTAAAAAAATTTCTGGAAGTGTTTTTACATCTCGGGAAAGGCAAGAGAATTAAAGTCTTTCAAGACCCTTTTAACATTTAATTAGTTTTTTAAACTTACGGCATTGTCACCAACGGCATTTCTTTTCTTACGATGTAACAGGAAATGAATTGGTTTACCGAATAACATGATTGGTATGCAAATTACAGCTATTATAACCAGAATTGCTTCAAAGGTTGACTGAAATTTCTTTTGAATTTGAAAAAATTTTTGAAAAACCTGAAAATCAACTTTGCCACATTATCAAAAATCTACTTGCCTGTCCAGGATACCATTGGCTAAGATAGCAGTTTGGCAACTTCTCATAGGTAACACGACTACCATTTTGAGCAACAATTTTAGTGTCATTGAGAAAACCAAGCCGACGTTCTTTAAACATGAACATATTGATCAGACCAATCTAAAATATGCCACAGAATTTCATTATAAAAATTTAATTTTCAACTGATTTAAAAAATAAGAACTACCAGCAATGAAGGAGCGCAATTTGACCCTGGATAAAGCAATCCAAAAATGTATTCCTCTCGAGTCCAGAAAAATAACCATTTGATAACGATTTGGGCACACAAATAGATAAATATACAGAGCATGAACAAAATCTGTGGAATAAACACCGTGTATATTTCAATTTTTGATTTAAAATATCTGAAATTTGTGGAATATATAAAATTCAGATCAAATAGATGCTTTACAAATATGCGAATTAGTGAATCTCAGTCACTGAGAGTCCAAACAAGAAATAAATGAATTCAAATTAAGATAACACAAGATCTTGTCTTATTTTCAGTTGACATTATCCACGATGTTGAATGATCTGACATCCTAAAGATTCTGTTAAGCATTGATATTTTGCAAGGTATTATCGTTTGTTGATAGTATTCCAATAACAATAGTACTACTAAAAAAAAATTAGGAAAAGTGTTGTTAGTGACGTACATATAATTTAACAGCGATAAGAATACTCCGAACGTCATCTGAGCAATTCCAAGTATGACGGATAATTTCATTTTCAATGAGTTTGAAAAGTTTAATCGATTCTCTGCCAAATTCCATATAGGATCTACACCAAACCAGTAAGGTCCACTATCATGCATGTAAGATCGTGATGGCGGCAGATCGATCAGTATTTCTTTATGTGTGAGAACCGATTGACTATCCCAAGATTCAATTTCCGCATTACTAGAAAAAGTTTCTAGAGAAGTTGTAAAGGATGATGATTCATTGATTTAAACTAAGAAGGTATACATTAATTGTTAGCTATGAACAATATTCCTCTCTTCAGATAAGAATCGAAAAATGCGATGTTATAACCAAAACAAGCAGAAGCATTTCATTGCTGTGAAATTTCAAACTCTGACAATTTGAATTCGATTTAAATTAAACTAAAAAATAAAACTTACGGAAACGGATTACGCCATTTTGAACCAAATAGATTAAACGATTTGGCAAAGAGGTCGTTGTAGAGGAAGCCTGCATGAATTGAAAAAATGCCCATAAGTAAAATAATATAACGACCACCATAGAACATGTTAAAAATCTGTAAATTTTAATTAAATGTAAATATATTGCATGATTTTTTAAAACAATCGTGAACTGATCAAGATTTAATACTAAGTTCATCCTATTGATTGTAATGATTTTTTGACCATTACCTCATCCTTAATATTGCGTGCCGCAAGGTTCTTCTCTCGCAGTACCATCCACAAACCAGCAAGAAGCATTATAATACCATGTCCGAGGTCACCGAACATGCAGGAAAAAATAAATGGAAATGTTATGATGGTATAAGGAGCTGAAAATGGAGTTAAGTTTGTGAAGTTAGTTAAAATCTGTTAAATTATACAAAATCTTGTTAATTTTGATTTGTGAAAACATCAATCATACCGGGATTGATTTCCAGATAAGAGGCAATACCATAAGAGTCAACGATCGTCTGAAAAACTTTCGTGAATTTGTTAACTCGGTTATAGGTCGGTGGTTCTTCGGTGGTCTCCAAAAGATTCAGAGCAGGTCTCACACTACTACCACTTTTCCTCTGCAATCAAAGCTTAGTACCTGAATTGCTTTTATTATCAATAAATAAGTTTATTTTTTAATATGAACTTCTACCAATGAACTTTCAAATGTCAACCCAGCTAATTTTTCTTAAAACTTTTGAAGCCATGCAAATGTTAAATTATCGATGCTTGAAACTTCTAACCACTCCTTCTTCAAGAGCCAAACGGACATTTTCCAGGTCAGCGTATGGTACCCAACATTCAGCGACGAAAAATTTACCGATAGCGTCAAATGTAAAAAGATTTAATGTGTAGTAAACCGATTTTTGCATGCGAACCTGGAAATGATCATTAATTAACCAGTCTGTATGTTAAAATTCATAATATAAAAACCAACTGCAAAAGTACTATTCTTAATTCAAATTACAAGATTTTAAGGACCTCTCTTTGCCACTGTCTGACAGAATTGGAAGCAGCCTGAAGCACTTTATATCGATGCTCTTGAGTTTGGCTCAGGACAGTACGCATATCCGATATGCGGGCTTTTACATCAAGCGCTGCTGCATGACGATCCTTAAACACGATGGAAAATAAATCTGAACAAATTATACACCAAATCTTTGCATTTCAGTACTTCATATGCAAAGCAATCACACCTTACTGTTCTTCGGACAACTGTTGTAGAGTTTAGCTTTGAATCCTTCACAAACTTTCTCGATGATAACCCGTAAACGATCACCTTTGTAGAAAATCAAGAAGACTGACTTGGAGCACATCTCACCCTATAATGATAAGTTTATTTTTACTAGTAGTTGGAAAATCTGACGATATGTGGAATAAATGAATACAAGACCGATTTATTACTGGAGATTTTGTTTTTGTGAACCTAATCGAAAATTGAGAAATGGAAATGGTGCTAGGCCATTATGGTCACAACATATGTTCAGAAACATACACTATCTGGATTTTCCAATTCCTCTTCAATATCGGTAGTACGTACAAATGCCGTTTTATGACAAGCTCGCCACAAAACCTTTTCGAAAGCATTCACACGATCACGATTAATGACACCCGCCAAAAATCTAAAATTGAAATCGAGAAATCTATGCAAACAATATTATTAATTTATTTAGGCAAATTCATTTTAAATCTACATTTGAGTGAGCTAAATTTGGCACCAAAAGCAACTTTTAAATAACGGTATTTCTATGGCAAATTTTTTTTTCAAATAAATTTATTGTCATGTAAGAATGTGTAGCAATTAAAACATCAAAATAAGATAAATTCGCGCATTTTAACTTCAATTTCAAAAATACTAATTTTGCTGTAATCTTTCTATTATAACGATAAATCCATTTGTTCTACAATATAATCAAAAATTACCCTATCGGCTCTTTTCCGCTTCTGAGCACAAGTGCAAAATCTTCTTGCACTGCTTCAATTTCATGCATTGCAACATCACTAATGCCCTACAAGAGAACGATAATTTCCATTAATTCTAAAACAACACTTGGCGACACATCCCACAGGTCGCACGTTCTGATCTTCTCAAATAGAATTTTATTGACTTTCTGTCCATAAATCACTCTATTATCATAATTAATTTTAAAATTACAAGTAAACGAAAAGCAATTTCCTGAAAAATTATAACATTTAGCCCTCTTTTGAGTTAAACAGAAAGGCAAAGCAGACTTCTTCAAAAAAGTGATCGGTTTTTTCCAGAATTGCTTCCCATTCTTTCAGCTCCAAATAATTTCGTTTCAGAATTATATTATTTTCATTCATGCTGATTACATCACGTTCTAAATCAATCAATGTGCCCTGTAAAATGTAATCATACCTTTATTGATTGAATGTTTTGTTGTCCTATGAGATGTTTGCAGATCTTCCAAATGTAGGAATACTTCAAAAACAGCAAACTGTTTGCTCTTTGTACTTTTATTTCTCTTCACAGCACAAAAAAAATTCCGAAGGTTAAAAGATGATATTATTATTGCTGAACCATAATTCTAAATATTACTTGAATGAAAGGGTCAAAATATAACCAACCTCAAGTTGATTGAGTTGATGTGGTGCCATTACTTCGTATGTGTCATCTTTTCCAGCATCATCATTAACTTCAATATCGTCTTTACGTATTTGGGCGTCAAGAAATCCTGAAAAAGTGTTATTCGTCACTGCAGATCTTAAATTATGTAAGTTTAATTAACATGAAAACGAGGCTCAAATTTGGTCCACAACAACTCACTTAATTTCCGTTCCAGTTCTTCAAATCGCTGGATGTCACGAAGATACATTCTTTGAAACGGGTTCATATTAGCATTCAGCTAAAAATTATGTCTTAATTTCTGCTAATAATTTTATGAACGTTGTATGCATTTTTATCAGGTTGTTAGTTACTTTTCTTCTCTTTTCTTCCAATGATAAAAAGCGTGTTTTTTTTACTTTTATTTTCACCGGTTTATTATAATCTGAGAATTTGGTCAAAATGAATTTTTTTTTACTCGCATTTTAAAAGAATCTAAACAGTGTCGAAGTTGAATTGAAAATGACTCAGGCAAAAAGGCTAGCCGATATGAGTATTTTTCGCTTGCAAAGCGTACAAATGACTACCAAATTGAGTTTATTGATTAAAAAGTTATTAAACTATCATCAATTTGTTTGCTGGGCAAATTTTGCATAAAAATAATTAGCCTAATAAATATAGATTTGAAACTTTCAAAATTTCTAAAAATAGTTTCAAAAAAGTACATCCTTGAACTGAACATAAGGATGTTTGCCAAGTTCAGCAACACAAGAAAATGCGGTATCTTTCTGGACAATCATTTGGCAGAATCTCATCTGCTCTGACCGGTACAGTGATCCCATTGGTGAACGGAACTTACTTTCGATCTTCTAGTCCTGCAAGAAATTTATATTTATTTTCCGAATTAAATAAGTTCAAAATCGCAAATTCATATGCATCATTTCCAAATAAATATCACGTAAAATCGTTACGCACAGATGTTGAAAGAAAGTTATGGAAAGTTTATTACTGCAATCAAAAGCTTCATTATCGGATTGTCGCATTCAAAGAAAATGATGGAATTTGTCGAATTTATACACTTGAAGGATCTCCTTTCTTTTTTTACCTTCAAGAAAATGCTTATCTGAAAGTTATCTATAAGTGTTCATGAAACCGGGAGAAAAAAATTAGGGATTAAAAGAGCGAAGAAGTACAAAGGAAAGAATAAGTCAGCCATCACCTGATCTTTCGCAATATTAGTCACAATGAGTGAGTGAAAAGTAGAATTAAGTTTACATTACAGAAGATATTCCTTTTTTCACTGGTGACGGAAGTTTTTTTTGAAAGAAATCCATAAGAACAAATATTTTTTATTTGTTATTAAACAACGCAGCTCGATATGGAGGAGAAAGAGAAATGGATGAGGGAAATTCCGAGTAAAGATACTGATTCTTTAAGCAAATTTCCGTGTTGCTTTAATATGAATTTAGTTAAAAATTGTAGCGAAAATGAACTGATTTCCAATTTAATATGGAATTAAAATTTTCCAAGTTTTGTGGCGTTCATATTTTCAATCATTTTAGCTTAAGGATCATTGTAGAAGAAGCAAGTAAATGGACATCCTTTTTGTTGAATTTATGATTCTTTTCCCGACATAATTGGATATTTTGTGTACCATGAGTTTGTTTCAGAAGTTTCCCAGGTTTTTTTTGAATTGGTTTGCTTTTTAAAAAAATCAAATAAAATTCTTAGACGACTAACCACTGTTTTATTTGTATAATTGCTTCTGGTCAGTATGTTAAAATCGAAGCGAAATGAGTTGTCAGTTAAAAGATCTTTATTGTATAAAACAATGGCACTACTAGTAGAAATTTAAATCTAAAAGAATGTTACAATGATGTACAAACAAGTCATGGGAAGAAAAACGTCATGAAAAAAATTGAAGGTCAATGACTCTAAAGTGGCCCAATTCCGCTATCCCTGACCTTCGTAAGATATTTCCCTCAGAATTCACAACAACCTTTCTCCATGCCTTCTGCATCCTTCCCTTCTTACTGCTTAACTCTTTTCTACTTTTATTACCTTACTAAAGTATTTTAAATATCCGACAATGTTTAAAATGCCAGAAAAATGAGTTCTAAATTATTTGGATGTGATGGCTAAAAAAATGAACATTGATGAATCCAGAAGTATTTGTTACAATTAAAATGGACATCTCTAATAAAATCAGATAATCATTAAATAATCTAAAGCAGGAAAAGAGGTCTTGAATGAATAATTACGCATCATCTTGTCGCTTTAAAAATTTGAGAAAATTTTGTCCGTTAGAAAACTTTAATTAAAAAAAATAAAAACTAATATTAAAAATTGAACGTTTGACAAATTCAGCGAAAGCAAATTAAAGGAAAGAAGTGCAGCACCGAATGATAGTTTTTTTTTTTGAAGTTTAACAAGTTCATCAAACTGCACTAATATTGCAGTATTTTTATTTACGATGACTAACTTTCGATGGTTTTTCAACTATGCATTGCTCTTCGCATTTGCAGGCATAACAGCAATCCTACTGACGCCGAACTCGAAACAACTACTATCGCTTTTTAAAATCAGTAATTTTAGGATCATCCGAAAAAACATGTTTTATAATGTTTGAGTGTAATGCAATATCCAAAACAATAAAGTTCCCAAAATTACAAAGTCTGCTTGAATTGTTGAGTTCCGCAAATTGCAAATTCAGACAAATCACTGCAGTTAGCTGCTTACTTATTCGAAATATGATGTGTAGGTAAGGATTATTTTTAAAAAAAAAAAAAAAAAACTTTCTCGTGCAACTGTTAACAATCGTTAAATCAAGGTAGAAAATAGCACGGAAATCTGACTTCATCGCGGAGAGAAATGAACTGTTCAAAACTAACACTTCTTTTACATGACTGTTGGTCGCCGAAATTATTTAACATTGAATTCTGTTATCAGCGCTAGTTTTTTCTTTGTTGTAAAAGCACAGCATATTTTATAATTTGTTTGCACATTGTTGTCCATTCTATCAGTCCCGAAATCGCGACACCTATCCGTTCAACATGGTTGACAAATACAAAGATATCAATAACTTCGCAATTGCAATGATGCAATATAGCTTATTTTAGTACGAAATAAGTACAATTGTGAAATTTGATTTCTTAAAAAAAAGAAAGGGAACAATATCCATGTTAGCCTTACGATAAATCTGTCATTTGAAAAATAAATGTGCGATAAATCGTTCAGCGAAGGAAAAAAAGAGGCCAGGATATGGCAAAACAGACTACAAAAAGATTAGAATCGATGCATAAATGTATTTTTAAAATGATGAGGGGAGGACGATTTGACAACAGGACGGATATATTACATCAGGAAGTATCATTTACAATCGGCAGTCTTTGTCGTTTGCAACGGATGAACATATAACGCAATGACTACATTTTATAAGATGTATAATATATTACAATACTTCCCGTAATTTTGAATTTACAAATCTTCAAATTTCTTAAATAAATCTTAATTCAATCCAATAATTTTACATGATACCCATTTTGTGATTGCAAAACTTGTCTATATTTCGTACTTCTCACAAATAGTAAGATACTGGTACTGGAATTAGTGCAGGATATCGATCCTTTCTTTCCCCTAGTGCTGATTCCCTATTCTTCTAGATTGATTTATTCTTTAATAAATTTACTTTCACATTTCTAAAGGATATGTTAGCGTTAAAAACGAAATCAATTATTTAAAGAATAACGCAAGAAAATTAAGAGGTACACACGTAATCGTAAGGTAAACTACTTTACATTATGAATGAATCAATTATATCATTCTTTGTAAGTTTTGTTGATAATTGTATGAAATGAGTCAAAATTATAAAGTGATAATTACAAAATTGTAATTTGGAATGAAACATCTGCTAATGGAAATAAATCGGAAATTTCGTCAAGTTCAAAACAAAAAGAGGTGGAAATACAGCAGTGTACCTGAAATAGTAGCAGGTTCTTTATTTCAGACAATTTTTCTCCTTCTTTTTGAAAAATAGGAAATGAACTGAGGATCTAATGAGAGCGTAATCAATGAAACTCGTAACCACATATACTTATTAACAATGAGATGATAATAGCGATTGTGATGGTGATGGTGGTGGTGATAGTTATAGTGGTAACAGGACGCAATATCATCCTGATTACAGTATGATGTATCGGAATGAAAATCATGCATGGAGAAAAAAAGCAATTGAAAATCTCATGCAACAAAATGGAAGAGGGCACGGGGACGGGGACAGGGACATGGAAGGGAAGGTGAGTGAGTGATCTTTGTTCGTCCCCCTCCTCTTCTCATGTCGAGACTACTTACTGGTTTTCGATCCTCATGCAAGTGAAAAATATTTCTTCTCGCACGGTGTTATAAAACTAGTTCTTTCTTGTCACATATCAGAAAAAGCTTACATTATTTTCTAGATCTGCGAGAATGTTTTCTCTTCCGTCACAGTTATCCCTATAACTCGCTTGCCAACAAGAATATGTGCATGTTTCCGCTTATTCACGTCTTCCTGTTTATATGTCTCCATATGTGTCATTTTGTGTTTATGTGAAATTATAATTCTGTCAATTTTTCAAATATTTTTATAATCTTTGAAACAAAAATAAAAACAAAAATCATGCATTGCTGCAGTACTGTAATTCCTCATACTGAAAATAATACCTTAGCAGCTGAATTACTTCATGATAATCTATTTCTAGCGGGGGTGAAGAACAGGTCTAAATTCGGATTTCTTTTGAATACAAAATATAAGCACTTCAATATGTGATGCAAGTCATCGCCCGACTTCGCTTGTTTTCGAATATTTTTCGGAAATACTTTCCCTATGTGTTTAATGCCCACTTACAATTACTTGTTTGAAAAATTGCCGATTGTAAAATGAAGTTTCAAAGATTTTATTTTCTTGCAATGGTAGTTTTAAAGTTATTCGAATTTTCAAGCACAAACAAATAAAGAGTGCAACAAAAAAAATCTTTTTAAAATAACTGTGTAAGAAGACTTTAAGTATTCCATTCGGCTACTAACTTTTATTAACCAAAAAAAAATTAAGGTGTAAATTTCGAAAAGGAAAGGCAAATGGAAGTATGTTAAATATAAAAACAACAAATGATTACACTTTTAAACATTCATTTGTTCTTTTTTTTTGCATTCGCAGGAGTGTGAACAACAAATGTACCATGAGTCCATGAAACAATTCCTAAATTTTTAAAAGAGTAAAATACTGCTCAAGAATAAAAACGATTCTATCGGTGGATATGAATTATACAATATAATCCAAATTTCATCAGAACATAGAAAAGAACTGAGAATAAAAAATAAAGCCCGAATTTCTAGATAGGGATCCCGAGAGTAAGGCAAGAAACTACAGTGATTCACCGAGTCATGCATGCGCAACAGATTCTTGAAACTCATCAAATACGACGGCCTCTAGAAATTTTTTTTGAAAAAATTGTAAAAAATTGTTTATATAGTTAAATATAAGAAATAATAATGTTCGAATCTGCAACTCATCAGATATAGACGGTTTAGTTGGAACGACTGTCTCTATTTTCTTTCATGGATGCTACGATATGGATAGTTTGAGATTTTCCTTTCAGTGGTTTATTCAGATTCTTAGGCAACATTCCTCGGGATTACTGACACATTATCTTAATCGCCCAGATACTTCCAGTATTCGGCCGTCCTATCTACAGATAGGCTTCAGTGTCCTTAGATGTGTTTGCCTTTGATCCTTGCATTCAGCTCCATCTCCTTTGTGGCTGTCCCTGAATTTTTGAACTTATATTTTCTTGGAGACTAACCTCTCCACAAAACAGTGATATGATAATCACTAGATGAGTTTCCATCAGTGGCGAGATAGATCCTACGTCGCTCTTTAAGAATTGCGCTCTCAGCTATAATCGCTGCGTGATACGTAATAAGTTTCATCAAAGGTATGGGCGAGCAAGTGGTCGAGTTTTGTCGGAAGATTCGTCGTTGCATCCTTCGCTCTGCATTCATCAGTGAGCATGTGTGATGTGTGATGGATGAGGATCAACCCATTGATGACAACCTGTGCAACTCTCCGGAATGCACCAATAAAGCCAAACTGCGTTGTCCTACGTGTATCAGACTGAAATTGAGGGATTCCTACTTTTGCTCTCAGGTTAGTACCATGCACCAATCAATAATTGATCACATTTTGGAAGTATTTTATTTTAAGATAAAGGTAGTGTTGAAAGACGATGAGGTGAGTGGATATCCAGAGTAGCTTATTATACTTCTAGTCCACTTGTATTGATTAAACGAATTGAGGAATACCACTGATAAAGAACGGAATCTATCACATGTTGACTCAAATAAGGGATAGATATCATAACTGTTATGATTCGGATTCCTAAGTTTTAATATGGCTGTCATTTTGAGCTATTTTCTGAAGCGAATATACATCTATGACAGGAGTATGATCAGGTCATACTGATCCATTGGTAGGCCAGTCATCTAGTTCGAGCTGTGGATTTCTATTATTTATCTAAACATTCAATTTTAATATTCATATGTTTTTCTTCTTCAGGAATGTTTCAAAAATAGCTGGGCATTTCACAAACTGATTCATTTGGCCTTTACTGGGTCTCCAGAACAGTATAATCCATGGCCATATTATAACTTTACCGGGTTATTACGTCCAGCACCAATGGGACAAAAACGCGAGGTTCCGGATACTATCATGAAACCTGATTACGCATTTCGTGCAGATGGCATTTCAGAAGGCGAACAAATTGCACGAAATATTAATAAGATTAAGGTTCAAGAATGCTGAAGAGAAAAATTATTTTATTTTTTCAGTCTTATTGCAAACTTTATTAAAAGTTCGAAACTGTAGGTTAGTTCGTTTTCGTAAAATTAAATGTAAATTTAAAATAATCGAATTAATTCCCAGAATTGTTTCGAACTTTTAATAAACATTAAAGATTTAGAATTCAAAATCCTAATTTTATTAAGGAATTGGATTTACTGAGGAAGAAAAGACGAAAGAAGATAGAATCTAGAAAGCCAGTTTTTATGAATAAGTCTTCTTCATGGAAGTGAATATTTCAGGTGCTCGACGATGACGAAATAGGGAGCATGAGAACAGTTTGTAAACTAGCTAGAGAAGTGCTGGATGAAGCAGCTCAGGCTTGTGAACCCGGTATAACCACAGATCAAATCGATGCCATTGTGCACGAAGCTTGTATTGAAAGAGATTGTTACCCCTCTCCTCTTGGGTAAGATTTATTATTTCAGGTAAATTATATCCTATTATTTCCCTAGGTACTTCGTGTACACTAATTGTTAGGATAAACACCGTACATCGGAATCTGTTATAAAGTCAGGACCAAACTCTCCAGAATTATTCCATTTAGAAGTATTCAGGTATCATCAGTTTCCAAAAAGTGTGTGCACATCGGTCAATGAAGTCATTTGTCATGGAATCCCAGATATGCGAAAACTTGAGAACGGCGATATTTGTAATGGTACTTTCTAGTGCAATTGCTCCTTCCTTTTTCATTAAATTAATCATCAAGCCGCTTCCAATACTTTTTTGAATTTGCAGCACGAAATGAGTGATAGTAAATTTTAAATGAACAAGTAATTTGCAGTCGATGTGACAGTATATCATCGTGGCTTTCATGGTGATTTAAACGAAACATTTTTGATCGGTGACAAAGTTAAGGAAGATACGAGGAAATTGGTGAAGGTTACATATGAATGCTTGCAGCATGCTATCGATCTCGGTGAATATAGCTATCTAAGAATAGTCTTTAACACATTTTCAACTTGCATTGAAGTTTAAGCGCTAGTTTTTCCTTTTTTTTTCTCTAGCAAAACCCAACTTTTTGAAGCAAAAAATTAAAACCTTACTTATTCCAGTTCGTCCGGGTGTACGCTTCCGTGAAATCGGCAATGTTATCCAGAAACATGCAAATGCGCATGGCTTCTCGGTGGTTAAGACATACTGTGGGCATGGAATTCACAGGTTTCCCCGCATATCTTTTTTTTAAAACTCTTCCGGTACACTTTTTAATCAGAATAAGTTCTGAAGTTTTGAAAATTTTCAAGAACAATTTATCAGTGTCCATTCTGTCATTGTTTCAGGCTTTTTCACACTGTGCCGAATGTACCACATTATGCAAGTATGCTTTGATTTTGTTAACTTATCTTCTTATTTAAAATTTTGTTTCTATTCTGTAATCCCCATGTGTTAGTAAACTATCGGACCTTTTTGCAAATTTTAAAAGAACAAAGGAAATAATAGCGAATGATTTTCAGGTCTAACCTGAACGTCGTTTGCTCTTGTTTCAGGTAGCTTTTGGTTATCCTTTCTAGAAAACAAAGCGACTGGAGTTATGAAAGCTGGCAATACATTTACCATCGAGCCAATGATTAACGCTGGTGGCCATAACAACGAACGTTGGCCAGATAATTGGACCGCTGTCACCGTTCGTTATCTTTTTGCCTTTTGTCTTTAAATTTCGAAATAAATGAAATGAATATTTAATTACTAGTTTCATTGCGATAAATATTTGACCAGTTTAGAGTGATGGGAAGCCATCGGCACAGTTCGAACAGACATTGTTGGTAACTGAGTCCGGATGCGATGTGTTGACAGCTCGAAGTACGGGCCGGCCTTGGTTCATGGATCAATTGAAAAAAAGTTATTCCTCTGATTAGGTTGCGCATCTCATTCTTTTTTAAAGCCATTTCATAATAATCTTGTTTCGAAATCTCCCGCACGATTCGACACATTTGAGGAAATTTTCGTTTTACTAGACAAATTCGTAGTCACGATTTCGTCAATTGTCTGCTTTAAAGTAATGTATAACACGGTATTGGTGTTTAATAATTGATCTTTTTTTTCAAAATTTATTTTCCCTTCATCGGCTGTCCCACCACGCAGTTCTAACGCGTAAGAAAGTTTAATGTTTTAAATTAATGAACCATCTCAATTTTATTTTAACGATTGTTTTGCGATCTGTTAGTTTTGTTTCACTGATTTGTTTCAATGGTATAGTTGTGACCTCACTAACAATATTTTTAGAGTGGTTTTATTGGCCAATAAATAATTTGTACTACGGTTTATCTACGACGAAAGTGATGTTGTAAAGGTAGGTTGCAAGATCACATTTTGTTTATCTTGCTTTCTCTGTAGGAGACGTAGTTTGGAGTTCTCTCAGTATTATATCAATATGTTATTTCCAAGTTCGCAAGACCTCCCATATCCTTCAGCTCTTAACTCCATTTATTTATATTGAACCTGAACGTCATCATTTGGAAGTGTTAATGTTGCTACTTCATGTCTACGCATTACTGTACTGATATAAAATATTTGCAGTAGAATAGTACGTATACGGAATAATATAATATGTGGAGGATACACCAAGTTTGTCCTCTATATCACCACCACTTGTTTGAGGGTTATCCAGTACAGATGTCATCTTTCAGTACTGAAGATTTTACCGATCTGGGAGCATCTTTCACATCAAAATCACTTTTACGAAATCTAAGAAACCAACACTAATTGGAACAACCAAAGATGAGTAAATATTAATTACTCGTGATATCTGCTGTGTTATAAATTTCATGAAATCTATACAGCATGCAGTACCGTAAATGCTTGAGTTAAACGAATTAAGATACAATTCCTAGAACTGAAATAGACTCAATAAATCGATGTTGTAAAGTATGGAATTATATGCTGGACATAAATATATACACGAGTTCTATGCAGTAAACACCGAGGGAAGAACACAACACCAAAAATGAGTAATGACGAGAAATAGGTGTTAATAGCAAAACGATATTGTCGACATTAGTGGTAAAAAGACGAAAGATAGAAGTGGAGCTCCAGTTTTACACCGATTACGAAAATACAGTGTCACCATTTCCCAGTCCTCTTTTTAGCGTCTTGTACCACCTAAAACGCAATAAGAGATAAGGATTATCAAAATTAAGATTTAATACCATTAAGGAACAATTTCAATTATATATTTATTTACTTAAATTAATAACCAAGTGTCACGCAAACAACCTCTCAGCATTTCCCGAATGTGCAACTCGAAAATGCAGTGAAATACCATTCCTCTCATTTACTTGATTGGCATGCCGCAACTCAAACAAACGACCACCATCATCTAATTCTTGCGCATAAAGTGTAAATCCTAAAAGAACGTAGCGCGCCACAGGATCCACATCCTCAAATAGTAAAAACTTTTTAGTCCACACACTTCTGTACTTTATCTGCTCCGTATTTGTTTGCCACCAGTACCCTTCTGGAATTCGCAAAGAGACAGCTAAAATGATCTTTTTTATTCGTAAAGGAACGGGAACTATTAGAATTAATTTGTAAGAACTTACAAACTCTGCATCATAAAAACAAAGCACTAAGACACCATCTGCATGGGATGTAAGCCGACCCCACTTTTCATTTTCGCCACCTTTTTGATTTCTGAAAAGATTGGGCATTATTAGTATCATATAAAACCTTCACATTGCATTATAGTGAAAAATGAACCTATGAGATAGAAGCGAGGGTATGCTAAGTAATCTATTGTTGTTATTATATCCGTAATTATTATTTTCATGTTATTTCCTTTCTGGGTTTTTTGTAATATTCTTCGTTAACACTAGTATTTTTTTGGTAATTCATTTAAGTTTAATTTGAAGCGAAGAGACAATCGTATTACTGAAAAAAAAGCAACCTCAGAAATACAGTGCCAGATACTACTCCTTCCGCATTTCGACTGGGAACATTAGTTTTAGTCAGAGATTCATTTTCGGGAGCTGTGAAAGTCGTGCTTCCTAGTTCTCCCTTCCCTGGAATAAGACTTCGCATATATTACGTTATGCAAAAAATGAAATTAAGAATTTTAAAATCATTCAACTATAAATGAAGAGACAAATTTTTCAGAAATATCGAAAACAAATCATGATATTGAACAAACATTTTTTGATAATTTTCACATAGCATTCTGGACAAACTTTGGTGCGTATATAATAACTGTTAGTTTTGACAGGAGCATAACCAACGCATGAACGACATATTAACTGTAATTAAGTTATTTAATTTCTTGATTTTTTATTAAAAAATAATCTGTGGCAAAATTTTCATTTATCCAAATCAAAATTCAAGCTGAACACCAAAAATTTTTATCCCTTTATTTCGATCGATAATATCACATGTCATATTAATATGTCATAAATTTTTTTTTATACTATTACACAAAGACATGTGGTATTTCTACTAATCAAAAATATTAAAAATATAAAATCAAAATTGAAAACTATTTCTTAAATAGGAAAATGTAAACGAACTTACGTATCCACATTCACGGCAGTGATGGCGACGATTCAGAACATTGAATTTTGTAGAACAACCAGCCATCATGCATGAAGTTGCTTTTGGATCAGGTATCCATAATGGTGTATATTTATGCTTTCCAGTAGTTGGCAGTAAAATACTGTGAACCGATCCATTGTTCGACGCTTTACTATTCGATGTATCCTCACTCATCAGCTCATCTCTGTGCATTAATCGGACATTGAGAATCTGAAAATGAAATTAGGAAAATTTCAAATAAGATATCAGCTACCTTAATATGAACTGTTTAAAAACAACCTTGTTTCTAACAGCTTTAATGCGACGCAACTCTTTTGCCTCCATTTTCGCTTCATTGATTCGTTTCACCCAATCATCTCTTTCTCGTTTCGTTCTAAAGATCCAACTATATTTGTTTGTCGAAATAAAACTTTAAAAAATTACATACAAAAATTTGAAGTAATTAGTTTATCATTACCATTTAGTTACACAGCGGAAGTCACCCTTTTATGGAAATGCAACACAAGTTTAGATGATTTTTGCCAATTAACACATAACAGAATTCTCTCATTTCACTAAAGGGAGACATTTCATATAGTGTTCCTACATCGTCTAGCTATTCTAACCTAATTACTTGAGCAATAAACACAATGATGAGTCTCGAATGAACAAGTCTTCTGCAAAATCAAAATATACTTTGCAATAAAAACGGCACTTTTCTGTGTGGTGTACAGCTGAAAATGAGTTTCATATTCGCCGTGTTCTTCTGCTTTAACACGAATCCGAGAAACAAGAAATTTATAAAATTCGGAATGAAAATTGGCATCTGTTCCAAGCGAAGGCGTTCTTGAATATTTACAAATTAATAACATATCCGAGAACTGCAACACATCAAAGTTGTGCAAAACTTAGGTCATTTTTATAGAAACAGAGTGTAACACTTCCAATTATTACCATTTACATCTCCTTTACATTGAATATGGTGAAATTTTGTTACTGCTTATCTTCCATAATTATGCACATTAATACTAAATCTAACTAGAACGTTGTTTTTAGTAGCAAAGACAGTGTGCCTCAATGCTTCACGGATGAAGACATTATTTCGTTTATTCTCCAGAAAACAACATACCTTTCCAATTTTTGCTATCCAAAATATAATTTGCAAAAGATTACTAGAATTTATGCCACAAAATTAAAAAAAAAGAATATCCAAAATTCCACGTCACAAAGACGTTTTTTGAAAAAAGAACATACTAATATCAAGTATCGAGGTTGTAAATCTTTCCGCGATTGTTTCATCAATTCGCCTTCAAATAAAAGGTGCCGATTTGCTTCAAAAACATTAAACCTTCCCTGCAAATTTCAATTTATATGCAAAATTATATGTTTCGGTTAATTCAGAAATGAATGGTAAATTTTTCAATAGGAAGTACCTCAAGTCGTCGATATAAATCAATTAAACGTTTTTCCAATTCAGCACGACTAATCTGCCGATCAACTACTTCTGATACTTTTGATAACTGCACCAATGCTTCTGAATAAAGACAAAGGTATGCAAAGCTTTTTCTTTATAAAACTTTACTAACTGCGGTGGTATGAATATATTAGGCTACCTAAAAAGGAAAAGAATTAGTTTTCTAGACACCATGAAAAGCAAACTTCTAGCTAACCAAAAGCAAACCTTTACATACATCCAGTTCATCAGATTCAGGCATTAAGTACTTTTTGTACGCCTCCAGTAAAATCGTATAACGCACAACATTTTGATGAACGATATCAAGCTGTTGAATTATAGATATTTTACCCATTACTTGTTCCTCGAACTGAAAATAACAAAGTGAACGAAACCATCAAATAACAACAGTTCATTTTAAAATATTTCAATTCTACCCACCTTTGCTGTTGCACGAGCTAATTCTTCATTATCTTGAAGCAATCTTATGAAATCATCAACATGCTTCTTTTTTTCTTTGAGGTAGGGAAGACAACATTTCAATAAACCAGCTCCATTTTTTAGGCATTCTGCCATATTTGGATCTCTCGAATCCCTGGAATTATGTAAAATTTTTTCACCATAAATGCGCTCTCGAAATTTATTTTTTAGGAATTTTCATCGTTATCCAGAAACAGCAAAATTTCATTTTAAAGCTTTTATTTAATGGTTATTTTAATACCAATTTTCAATTTTTGATGAAATTTTCTCCAACAAAAACTTATGCGCTTCTTTCACCATTAAAAGTTGCTGAGCTATCTGACTGATCAAATGAGGATGTCCATTTGGTAACGGTTTCAACAAATTGATCCCCAATTCCTTCCCATATTCTGTCAAAAATTCAGGATATTTCTGAAAAATAAAACCTATAGGTACAAACCGAAAAAAAAACTCAGAATTCAGAATTCGTCGTCATATAAATATGAACTACTTACCACAGCAATAAGTTCCAACTGCTCAACAAATTTTTTCTCAACTGTGTAAATTTCGACCGCTGCATAGTGAAGCTTCTTTAATCTCTGGTCCTGTAATTCTTATAATTCTTTTATCTTAGTGATAGCTCACTTTATATAAAATTTCCAGTGAAGACTATCTACAAAATCTCCAGAACTTTCATCTCTATAGATACAGAGAGAAAAATATTAGAAATAATAAAAGTACCCGCTCTTCTTTACGAAATAAAATGAGAAACTGATCGCAAACAGTTTCAGACATCTCCTGATTTACCTCATCATTTGTTCTGAATCTAAAAAAAAACCTCTTCCCGAGAACCGGTGTTGTAGAAGATGTCCATAAACGAGGAGTCAAACGAATTTCTTGTTGGGCTTGTTATACTAGTACGATAAAGTGCACTATTTATGCTATAAGCATCACTACTGGGTCTGGACGATGTAGCTTCAGAATCGCAAGAAGACAAAAATTCGCAATTTGACTCTAGATTCTGAAATACACATACTCATTTTTTTAAAAAAAATCAAGCGAATCTGACATAGAGTATAATTATAGCAGTATTCAAACTTGCTTGAAAATAAAAAAAAAACTAAAATCGGTTGTTTAACCGACATTACCCTTGATTTCCATATCTTGGAATTAGCAGCGGTATTCGAATCATGCACTACCACATCTTTCGATATCCTAAAAGAAACTAACAGCAAGTTTAGGGAGGATATTAGCAAGACGCTCAAAGACAGAATAATGACGTTTAAGTATAAATAAGATACTTTGTACTGGTCTGCATTTCAACCAACAGTTCGATGACTAACTAATATCAGTCCCTCTGAAAACATTGTTTTTTAACTCTTCTATTGCGATTGTTTGCAATAATTGCTCAGAAGTCAAGATAAAAGTGAAATAAAATGCTGAATCTTTTAACAATTTCATTTTACAGATACAGTTTTAGAAATTTGATACTGCAATCTTATTAACAAATAAAACAAGAATGATGATCGACTTTGTCGTCCAATACTCGGAAAATGAAGCTTAAACTCGTACAGTTCACTTTTGAATGAAGTCTTAAAGCAAGAGTTTCAGCGTTCACACCGAAGTCAAGTTAGATATTGGGAATACACTTTCGAACCAGAGTTTACATTAGGTAAAACTTAAAATTGATTTGCGAAATAAACTCGAACAACATAAATTTGATTGCCAATAAAAATTAATAATGTAATCCTACTAAAATGCATCCAACATGACACTGATGAAAAATCTTGAGGCTGCGAATTTAACTTTATAAATTGCAAAAAGCTTACAAAGTTTCATCTGATTCGAAAATTTCCCCTGGAACCAATGTTTTTTCATTGATGTCTTCAACCTTTTTTCCAGGACAATCGAAACTTTGTTCTGAACACAACGATTCTGTTTCACTAGAAAGTGGACTTCTCAGCTGGAGATCTATCCAAGAACCATCCGAAATTACGGAAGATCTCATAAAGCTGCAATCTTATAACACTATAAAAATTGAAGATCTGCAAATAAACTAATCAAATAAGTTGCTCACAAAATCAGAAATAAAATAAAACAACAAGTAAAATAATACTTTTGTTGGTCAAACGACAAATCTCTTGGACTACGAAAAGCAGTCGGTGACATTTGTCCAGAATCAATCAAACTGTCGTAGAATGCAACTGCACTTCGCACTTTCATATGATGCTTTCGAATATCAGAATTCGAAACGATGCTTGAGCTTTTTGAAATTATACGACTGTCATTAAACAATTTAAGAGAAATCAGTAAAAAAGTTTTGATATTAGACGGAATTCGCCATTATGATAATAAAAAATTATCGAACAAACTCAAGGCAAGAAGCTGAACGGTATCAAAACTGGTGCACAAAACGACCTTGGCAAGAAACAGCAAAGTATTCCACAAATGAAATTCGCATTTAACAGCTAACTGATCATCCTAATATTTGTTACACAGAAATTGGCAAAAAAAGTTACCTTGCAGTATTCACGGAAGAAAGACCATCTTCACTGATATTTAAAACATCCACTGAACTGACTGGGGAAAGTACAGGCGTTGGCTAAAACATAAAACCAAAGTAAGAAACAAAATCAAATAGAAGGGAATGCTAGAACGTTTCATCACAACTACAGTTCCATTTCTCTTGCATTTATAACGATTAGAAAACTAATTCAAATCATTCCATGTAGACTTACATAAATCGTTTATTAATTCCCCACTACATAAATCATTTATTAATTCCCTACCACGGCTGCCACTGATTATGTTGTTGTATTAAAAATATAGAACTGAGTTCAACTCTCCCTTCCCATTATTTTTAATCTCAAATATGATATCAACTACCAATTTTAATTAGTTTTTGATTCAAGCATTCAAATGACTTACGCTTTTGCACGGTTTCCGCTTTTGCGTCACAATCGGCTTCTGTTTCCACTTTAGTATACTTTGTTCATTACCGATTTTACTGCCTTCGAAAAGTATTTTTCTCTGTTTTACTAAAAGAAAAGTGACGTTAAATTTCCAATTGCAAAATTAGCGACAGTATACTGGCCAGATGAAGATATGACTTTAAGTTCAATCAAAATAAGTTTATCCCAGACTTATCGCAAATAAATCATCCAAAGCAGTTTTTAAAGAACGAAAAAAAAGTCTGGAAATAAATCTATTGGAATATTATTCTAAATTTTCACAGCCATTAACAGTTCACTGGTCCATCAGTGTGTACAAATTTAGGGTTGTTTGGATCTACAAATTTGCAAAGTTACACAATGACTCGAAATGTAAGTTATAATCTTAGCAACAACAGCGTGAAGTAGTAAGAAACTAACTTACTAATATTATTAGATGGCGAAACTTCTTTGATAATAGCAGTATCAGACGCTTGATCATGTTCAAGCCGAGCACGTATCTGTTTAACATTTCCATTCAAATGCGGGATCTGGCTTAATTCGTGCATAAATTTATACAGTAATCATTAGGTAATATCAAGCCTAAAAAAATCAGTAAAATTGAAGAACCAAAACAGTAAGCACATTCCAAATATTCAAACCTGAAAAATCACGTTAAGTATTTAAATATATCATTATTTTAAACAAAACAGCATAAAACCGATAAAATGAGGAAAGGCCAAAAATTTTTGGAGGAAACAAACAGTACCGTCTGCCCGCTTTTATTTAAATCGTTGCAAAATAATTCAATCAGGGGTTAGAAAATAAATAGTATTTAAATAAAAAAATATTCGTCAATCACAGTTTGATTTCAAAATAAATTAAACTGATTATTCGACGAATAATACTGGTATCCTTACCAGTTGCAACATTAACACTATGAGCCATGTTGAGATGTTGTTTACATTTCATTTTCCAAAAGATGCTATTTCTATAATATGTCAACGCTTTTTTCCCTTCCCTTCTCTTCCGATAAAACCATGGATAACAGAATTCTTTCAGAGTGCTCGGGAATAAGTTACCGTAATACTGTTTCATTCACTGCTTACGATAATATTGAAAAGAACAAAAAAGTGGTGTGTTGAGGAGGAATGTGGTGAATAACAAAGAAAAGTTCGATCACTTTTGCTGCATATTGAAGAGAGTCGAGAAGCGTGAAGTGAACGAAAAGTTTCCGCATTTTCCAGGAACATAGCTGACAATTTAGAGCACTATTTCTTCCATATTTATTTCCTCTCTTCTTTCCTCTTCCCCGTCTCCGTTACATCTTGATCCAGCTATCGATAGCGGGAAGAATGACAGTGTCACATTTCTTGGACTACTTCAATTTGATATTCCAAAACCAGTTTTCCCTTTTTTGTCTCTCTTCCTCTCTCTATCCAACTAATTTATTGTATCTTCATTTACCAGTCATCATTTATCTGCCTAAACAGTCACAACGTCAGCATCACTATTCATTTTTTTTTTATCTTTGTTTTTTAAATACTACCATAATATACGCCGTGCCCATTGGCAGATGATATTTATTGTAACATACGTCACACAACATTTGATTCTTGTAACGTGACGTACGTTACAGTATCATCTACCAATAGGCACAATGTATATTATGGTAGTAGTTAAACATGATTATTCATAGTGTCACATATCTTCAGATATGATAGAATTACGGTTCCATGTATGCATGGTTTTTGAGATACAATTTAAGAATTATGACGTAAATAAGTTTTTTCCTTTCTAATTTAATATTTATTTAGGATTATGAGATGAGTAATAACAAGTAGAAAAAACAGGCCATCTCATACATATCGTAGCTATACTGAAATAATTGAAGGGCTACGGTAACTTTCCTCTTTTCATTTACTAAAGCAGTTATCTGCTCTGACTGAGCGACATATGCAAAACATAATAAATTTAATCATGTAAAAGTAATGGTAAAATTGACGTAAAAAGTACCAAATAATAGATGCGATATTGTACCATGTTTTGTAGCAATCGTGCTCCAATTGTTAATCTGTCTTGTTCACCGAGCAAGTCAACTAAACAAATAACGCATTACCCAACCAAGCGAAAGCTCCGTCCAATTACTTTCAGATCTGCAACGTGTCTAGCAATACCGCAACTCGCATCCGAACCCATGCGATAGCATTGATATTTTGACTTGAATGATATCACCGGGAAGACCATGATTTCTTACTATTTTCCACCTTTCTGAATTATATTCATCTGTATTGTTCTCTTCCAGAAACATGCATTTTTTGCACAATCTTTGCTATCACTAATAAGTGTGAAATCTGCATACGGTCTTTTTAACATTATTGCTCCTCATCTTGTCGTATGTATTTTTAATCCCTGCTGTATCCCATTCTGTCATACATCTTTTATAATTCCCAGTTACTATTATTTCAAATCTTATCAAACCCTTATCCGCATATCAAACCTGTCTTTCAGTTGTTAATGGTGTAAGGTTAATATTTGGTGATGCATTTGAATTCAGTTTCAGGTTACTCACATTTTGCAAAGTTTGCATGTATGCTAAGAATAACCTCAACGATGTGCCAACATACCAAATTCTGCTGACAGTAAGTGAAGTGCTTGTTCTGTTATCAGTTGATGATTATTAATAAGTCGATATGAATGTTACAAATGACATGGAAGCATTTGATACACAACCATGGGAGAAATTTGGTCGCTGGGTATATTGCATTTGTGTAGTGACATTCGATCTTGAATTGGGACAGTCAATTGAAGTGAGTATTCTCTTCTTTTCAAATGAGTTTACCAAATATTCCTACTTTCAGATTTTACTTATTGAAAATCAAATCTGAAATAGTAGAACTATATGCAGTTAAACAAAATTCCTGATATGTGGTGACTCTCATTCTGTCGTTATAGATTTGAAGTTGAGCAGTTGAATAGAATTTATAGAAATCCATACTGTTCTGGTGTGAAATCACGACTTCTAAAAATTAAAGCTTATTAAAGTTAAACATAGGAGTTTGAAGTTTTAATTTCAAATTTTGTAATTTTCTTCACTATTATTTGCTTCTTGAATTTGCAATCGATCTCGTGCTGGTAATTTCTAATTCAAATCCCATATGAAAGGAAATCACTGTTCCCTTTTCAGGTAATCTATCCCGGTGATGCACAACTGACAGTCAATGAGAAAAGTAGTATATGTTACTTGTCATTCCCGGATTCCAACTGTGGCATGGCTCGGGATACCAATTTTCACTTCCGCATACGTCGATCATCTGGTTCTAATTTATCTGCATATAGTGCGTACTCAGGACGTATACCGGCAGCTGTTGATGCCGATCCGCAATACTTCTATGGATTTGTTCATTCCAGGTTTGTCCCATGTGTTTTTATTATTTAGAACGTTAAGTTCTTTTGCATAATGATAAAATTCCAGAATTCTGGAATAGATCACTACGTTCGAAAACCACAGTCATTTTTTTAAATTTACGGGTGCATCTTCATCTGGGATTTTAATTACTAGTCACTTGCAGATTTCTTATGTTTGGTTTAATTTGCAGGCAAAAGAAAGATTCTTCATTGCCACGCGGTTACTTTCAAAAGGTTTGTCTCGTCAAAATATCAAAACTTTTAATCTTTGATTGGTTAGGAGTTCGTTTTTAGCAGTTATTTGATCTTTAAATGAATATGTAAGTCACCACTTGCAGAGTCTTGTTTTACTAACAGTGTTGCCTCTTTTTGATTTATTTTCGCTTGCTGTCGGTATGATTGCACAAGGCTTTTTTGACTCCGGAGAACCAGCGATCGAAGCAGGTAAAGTAACAGCAGTAACAAATTAAGTTTCAAATATATTTCCTTTATCTATAGCATACCTATTTGTGACGTTATGTGGTGTCAGATTTCGAAGATAACGCTAAAGTGTTTCAAAATATATAATAGATTCATCTCAACTGCTAATCATTCTGTTTTAGATATCTGATATTAAATATATTATCAAAGACATATTTATACAGCAAGATGAGTAGTGGTTCACCACTCCACTGTTCCTCATATAATACAGTAACTTGTATGTCCACTTTTTAGCCTGCCATCACATTGATCAATGGTCAATTCCCATCCCTGGTATCGTGCTTTATTTACCGCTAATGGGAAATGTGATACAATGTCGGATTCCGTGCCTAATTGATATATATTCACCTCAAGGAAGTTATCTTATGAATGTTAGGGTAAGTTTGTTGAATAAAATTTGGATTGAAATTAGGTATTGTGCGGTAGGCTTGAGGAAAAACAAAAATCGAATTACTTTTAAATTACTTTGTTTTATAGCAGACGCAAAACACTGCTGTTCATTTCCTAAAAATGTAAGAATTTATGATTCATATAAATGTATAGAAAATTTTCAGTTAATGTCACCCAGTAAAAACCCAGTTTTATTATCCATAATGAATAAATCGAATATTCATCGGTAAGTTAATAAACCTATTTGATTCTTTTTTTTGGATAGATTAAGTAGAGAAATCGGAAATATGTTAATTTGAGTTGGGCCACATATCTATTTCTGGACATATTCAGATCTTTCGTTATTACGTTTAAAAAGAAAAAAAAAATTTATTTCAGAAATATACTGTTTGTTGTTAACCATGTGCAGTTGTTATGGGAATTAGTGTTAACTGGAGAGGTAATTTCTGAAATGTTTTTTTTTCTGTAGTTTTTCATGTTTCTTAATATGAGAATGTCATTACGCTGTTGCACTTTAGCGGTGTAAATTAGAGAAATCCGGATTAATCTAAAGATGAAGTCTAAGTGAAAAGAAAATTATTTCAGCCAATTGTGGTGCTGGCTCAAAATCCGTCAGAATGTTCAACGTTCGTACAGTCCCTCATTTCTCTGATATGGCCATTAAGGTATTTAAACATAAATATACTGGTTACCTTCTCTATTTTTCAAGTATTTGCGTTCAAAAATGTCTTCTAACTTTTATTATGAGCAATTTTAGGTATTCCAGTGACTATCGACCCTTCTTTACAATTCATGATGTTGAATTTCGAGAATATTCGTCAAAAATTGATCCATGGTATTCGTTTTCCTTCTCATATAATTGCTAAATGAAACAAAAATTTTAAAGTTAAGTCATTTGGTACCCTCAACTTTTGGTTTTTATTTTTTGATGTTTGAACTCTTTATTTTAGGCCAAGTGTAATTCTTGGAGTAACCAATCCGTTTTTTACAAAAGTATTTCAAAACTGGCCTCATATTATTCGCCTGGTTCCTTCACAAGAGCGACAGATCTGTATTGGAGGAAAAAGGAAGTATGTCCATCTGTTTCTCGCTATTTTAGGAAATATTTTCGCTTGATTGAGTTTCAAGAATATAATTCTCAGTATTTATTTATTTTAATTAGACCTTTCCATTAATCCGTTTTTTGATGTTGTTCCTTGACTGGTATCTTGATCATTCTAAACATTGCAGAAAAATTTGGAATAAACGCGTCCTCGAAACGAAATATGGCTTATTTAGCCAGTACAAAATG